CCCCTCCCCTTGAGGCTTCCCTGGCATACCCACCCGCACAGGACCTTGTCACCATGCCCCCCCGGCCCACTTTTTTCTTGTTGCCTGTTTCCTGCCTCAGGGCACAAGCTGTAGCAGAGGGGGTCGTTGTCCTGCTCTTCTCCGGTCCCTAGGACAGCCACAAGTCCACACAGGTAGCACACAGGATGGGCCTGGTTTGTTGAATGACTACTAGAAAAGCCCCCCACCCTACCCAAAAACACTGACTCCTTGTCCCTGACAGAGCTGGGTCCCTGCCACCACACGCATCTCCGCTGTCCGTGTAGCAGACACTCCTGCTGCTGAGCTGTCTGGTGACAACTACCAGACTGCGCTCGCTGGGACCTCAGGGAGGGGACCCGGCACGCGGCCAGCACAGAAAGGAATCTCACACCCGCTGCCCACTTCATCCTCACAAGAGCCTGGAGATACTGCACTGCTCCACTCAACACACCCTGCTTCTCCGTGCCACGTGCCCAGGCTGCACATGGCACAGGGTGGTGGGAAGAGGGGCACACAGCAGCCCCCCACAGAGTGTTGAGCTATATTCCCAGCCCCTCCTCTTTTATTAAATTGTTTAGTTTTGGTTTTTGAGACAGGTCTCCCTATGCAGCCCAGGCTGGCTTTGAACACATGGAGATCCTCCTGCCTCGGCCTCCAGATGCTAGGATTACAGGTGTGTGCCACCACACCCAGCTAAATTTTTAACCCTGATCCGGGGTCTGAGAAAGCTGCCTCGGCTGTGTGATTCTCCTGCCTCAGCCCAGTGGAGCCTGGAGCCTGCCCAGTGTGAGTTTCCGTGCAGGGGGAGCAGTAGAATACCCAGCGTGTGCGGCATCTTTTCACACAGGAAAGGTGCGGCTCCTCAGCGCCACCTGCAGGGCTCGAGGGGTCCCCAGTGGCTGCTGCTCCTGGCCTTGCTAGGCCCTGCCGGTGCCTCAGTCTTGGTCTCTGCCACCTGGGCCAGGCCCGTCCGCACTGTGCCCAGGGCTGACTCTGCCACTCGTCACCATGTCCAAGCAGATGCCCCTACCTGTCGCCCCCCAACCCCGAACATCCGGCACCAATACAAGTGCTTGAAGGCCTGAGGACGGTGAGCTCAGTGAGGCCTCACGGACCGGGCCCCCGAAGCCAGGCGAGGGAAAGACGCGCCCCAGGTTGCGCCTGCTGAGCGGCAGAGGGGACAGAAGCGAGCAGGTGCTCAGGTGCCATTGGAGTCTGGATTTTTCCTGCCCTCAGCTCGGCGTCTTCAAGGAGGGAGGGATCACCTGACTTCCCCCTGGTCAAGGAACATGAAGGTGCCACCATCACCACCTGCCTAGCTATACCTGTGCCAGGGCGGCCTGAAAAGCCACCAAAGATAAAATACTCCTTTTTTTTAAGCTCTAAATCCGTTTTCATGCCAAGCTGCCGGGGCTTGCTGGCCTCCCTGCTGAAGGTGCCAGAACGACGCTCGGGGTGCCCGCCAGCTCTGCTAGAAGCTGGGGTCCCGGGGGCAGGTTCACGAGCCAGGGGCACACAAGCAGACGAGCTCGTCAGACACTCTCTGTCCTACCTTCTCCACCTTGGGCTGGAACAGCGGCCCCATTATGAGAAGCATTTGCTCCATCTCTGATAATTCCACCAGGCCAGGGGGATCAGGTGTCGGGCCCCAGGCAGCTGAGAGTCCCTTCTGCTGCCGGCCTGCCTGGGGACAGGCATGGCTCTCTCCACTCACTGTGAAGCTGCTTCTCAGCTTCTCACAGTGTAAAGGTGGGGTAACAGCCGATCGTGGCACTGCATGCCTACAACCCCAGCACTCAGGAGGCTGAGGCAGGAGGACTGCTGTAAGTTTGAGGCCAGCTTGGGCTGCACAGTAAGATGCTCAAAAAGAAAGAAAGGAAAGGAAAAAATCCATAGTAAGATGCTCAAAAATATAATAGAAAGAGGAAAAGGAAAAAAAAAATCCCCAAGTCCCAGGCAAGTCCTAGCCTGCCTTTTCCTAGCCACGCAGGCCCTGTACCCACTATTCAATCCATTCATTTGTCCTGAACCCGCTCTGCCCGCCTTTGGGCCTCAGTTTGTTCATCTGGAAATGGGCATCTTGCTAACCTCTCAGGCCAGTTTGAGGGACTAAAAGGAAAACCTATCTGAGAGGCATCCACAAATCCTGAAACACAAAAGGGACAAGAACTTCTGGTTTTCTTCCTTCTGGTTGACTTTCTCTGATTCCATGAAAATATTTGCTGATGCTGAGTGTAAAAGAGGGGCTGGAAATGACTGCTGAATGAGTGACCCCAACTACAGTGGAATTTTTTTTTTGAGACAGGGTCTCTCTACGGAGCCCAGGCTGGCCTCAAACTCACAGCCATCCTCCTGCCTCAGCCTCTCCAGTGCTGGGGCTACAGGCGGGCCACACAGCACTCAGTCGGACAGGAAGAGGGCTGCTCAGCCTGTGCCGGCGCATTTCCAGGCGCCCGCTGTGCCAGGCTGCTATCTCGTCCTAGTCTCACAATCTGAGCAGTCGGTGCTTTTGCACATCCAAGGGGAGGCAGGCGCGGTTAGTGAAATCCTGAAAGGCGCTGGCAGCCTTCTGCCTTTTAAAAGAAGCTGGGAGACAAAGCTGCATTCGCAGCGGCCTCTAGCGGCATATCTCCGAACAGCATGCTAACGCCGAAGGAATCTTCCTATTGACCCAGATTCAAAGGCGGGGGCTGGAAGGGGCCGGGTTCAGATCCCGGCTTGGAGGAGATCACCAAAGTCCAGAGCGAAGGCGGCTCCCCTGGGTCACAGCAAGGCCTCACGCTGCTCTGTCCACACCCGTGGCCACCACTGGCCGTCTGCGCTTCAGAGACAGACTGGTTTGGAAGAACAAACAGGGACCCAGTTTCTCAAAGACCTCACCCTGCTTTCTCCTGATTTCCCCTCCCTGCCCAGGTGCTGCTGGAACATCCCACATCCAGGCCTTTCACTAAAGCGTCCTGGGCTCCGAGGCCAAAGTGCACTACGCCAGTAAACTCTCAGCTTTAACAAGTGTGTCCCTCGTGACTTCCTCCTCCAAATGCTGCCGGGACGTGCCAATCAACGGGCCGAAGCAACAGCTCAGCATGACTCCAGGGTCTGGCGCAGGAAAAGCCATTTTGTCATATTCTGGAGACATGGTCCAAAAATAAATCAGTCTGAGGACTTCCAGGGGCTGAGCGGAAAGGCTTTGCTGCCAGGTGAGCTGAAGCCTGTTTTTTTTTGCTTTTTTTCTTGGACAGGTCTCGCCATGGAGTTCAGGCTGGCCTTGAACTATGCAGCCCAGGCTGGCTTCAAACACAGCAATCCTCCTGCTTCAGCCTCCCGAGTGCTGGGACTACAGCTGTGCGCCACCACGCTGTACCAAAGCCTGCGTTTGTGACGCAGGGCACAGCTGTGTCTGCCTCTGGGTCTCAATCTCCTTCTGCAAGGGCACTTTGATTCATCCCCAGGAACCTCAAAGGCTGGCACCAGATGCTGAGACAACACAGTGGGAGCAGGACAGGGCGGGGGGCTGGGGTGCACCTGGGTGGTAGAGCACTTGCCTGGCACACAGCAGGCCCTGGGTTCTACCCTCTGAGAAAGACAGAAAGAGACAGACAGCTTCAAGGGCACCAGTAACAACTGGCATTTGCAGTTTTCTAAATGTGAGATCCTGCTCCCCCACTGAACCTTCCCACAGCCTTGTGAGGCCAGGGCCTCGATCCCTGTTTCACAGCTGGGCAACGAACGCGCGGAGAAACGCGTTTGTGTTCACGGGGCTGCTGAGGGCTGCGGCTGAGCCCCTCTGGCTCAAGCTCCTCCCTGCAGCGTCATGGCGGCGGTGGCACCTTCCCCGAGTTCTCTGAGGGGTCTACGGCCTGCACCGCCTCGCAGTGTGGCGGCCGCACACGGGGGTCTGATATCGCAGTGAACTGAAGTGGGTGCTAAAGAGGGTGCTGCTTTTAATGCTTAGCCTGAGTAGTCAAAGCAGAGCCCTGACAGCGCCCGGCCTGGGTCTCTTGGTTTTTTTTTTGTTGTTGTTTGTTTTGGTTTTGGTTTTTTTCCGGTACCAGGAATCGAACTCACAACCTTGCACTTGCCAGGCAGGTGCTGTGCCTCTGAGCTAAATCCCCAGCCCCTGGGTCTCTTCATTGTTGCCAGCCTCCAGGATGAGGCGGATCCGGCTATGGACCCGGCCATGTCCTGTTCATCACTGCTGCTGCTACGATGTAGTGGGTGTAGCGGGGCCGGGCAGTGACCTCCTTTGGAGCTGCTTAGAAAGGGGGACCCTGGTGCTGTTTTGGTTTCGGTTTTACATCACAGGGTCTTGCTATGTAGCACAGGCTGCCCTTGAACTCCCAGCGATCCTCCTGATTCAGCCTCAGGGCTGGGATTACAGGCATGACCAGCGCCCCCCACCAATCTCTGCTAGGCTCCCTGAGGGATTCCAGAGGCGAGGTGAGGGGCCCTGGGCAGGCCGCCTCGGGGCACACACGCGATGGTCACACCCCGAGTGCTGCCTTCTACCTATTCCCTGGGGTACCTGCTCGAAGGCTTCTTTCCTTGCCTCACTCTCTCCCAATGGCAGCCTTCCCCAAAGCTGCCAGTCGCCTGGGCAGCCCCAGCTGTCCTCCCACGTGCAAACCAGGAGCAGCACACTGAGCCTTCCCTACTCCAGAGAGATGGCGCCGCTGCCCATGCCCCGGCTGGAGGCTGGGCCTGGTGTTCTGGGAGGTCAGGGGCCGGTGCCTTATTCCCTCCTCCTGCAGCAGCTCCAGTACGCCCACCCAGTCTGGCTGAAAGAAAATACTTCCATTTTCCTAAACCAGGCGTGGTGGCACATGCCTGTAATCCCAGCACTTGGGAGGCTGAGGCAGGAGGATCACTGTGAGTTCAAGGCTGGCCTGAACCACAGGAGACCCTAGCTCTAAAACACTAAAAAACAAAAACAAAAAATAACTGTAGAACCCTACACAATACTGAAAATCCGACCACAGCAGTGATTTCAACCATCAACGGAAGGCGTTTTATTTTGATGGATCTGTGTATCACAAAGGTATTAACTCCCTTCCTCACCCTTCCTCCCTCCCCACCAAGATTTTTCAAAAAAGTACAAAACTCTCTTATCTAATTTCTCCAAAGTCTTACTAATTAAAAGAGCTGAGCGGTGCCCCGCTCACAAGGGGCTGCTGTTGCAGAGAACACAGTCTGTCCTTGAGCTCCGGAGATTTGCACCCCTCCCTGGGGAAGAAATGGTCAACACTTCTGCCGCCTTCTGATAAATTCCACTCTCGATCACCGCACATTATCATTCCCTGGACACCTTCTTAGGGCTCTGATTGCTGGATGCATTTTTCATTTGGCAAAAATCCAGTGTGGCTTTGCGTGGGATGTCTGCGTGTCAGAACAGCAGTGTCAAGGCTCTGGCTTTGAGGGAGAGCATAGCAAGACGCATTCCTATTCCCTGGAAGCACGGTGGAGACGGGCGGGTGTCCGAGGGGACGGGCAGCAGGCGCCGCTCGCTTGGAATTGTGGGGCGGTGGCCTCTAGGTCCCGGAGAGAGGGCCGGAATGTAAACCTGTAAAGGGTGGAGTCTGCGTCCTTTCGATGCGCATGCGTCAGCGCAGGGCACACGGGAAAGTCAGGGACGGGTCACCGAGGTGAGCGCCACCAGGGTCGCGCCAGCCCAGACCCTGGGGAGAAAAAGACGCGTCCTGGTACCCTGGCAAGCTGCGCTTCCGCCTCTGGCTCACCAGGGACCCTGAGGGTGCGATGCCAAAATGAAGTTCAGAGCCCACGTAGTCGGGCTCTTCCGGACGCCGGGCGGCCGCATCTGAGAGGGTGAAGGTCTACCCGGAAGGGTACGCCTTGATGATCTTCACGTCGTCCACGGGCCGGTCCTGGGAGTTGGTTTCCACCATCCCCACGCGGTTCACCATGCCGATCCCCTGGCACACGCGGCCGAAGATGGTGTGCTTGCCATCGAGCCACTGGGTGGGGGCGAGGGTCACGAAGAACTGGCTGCCGTTGGTGTCCGGCCCCGCGTTGGCCATCGCGAGGATCCCAGCCCCTGGGGAAGGGAGAGGGGAGGAGCGAGAGCTAGTCCGCCTCCAGCACAGGGCCGCAACATCCCGGGTATGCGGAGCAGTCACTGTCCTCACTGGTGCGGCCCCAGGAGCGCCCCTCTGTCCTGCACAGGGTAATCGCTGCGCCCCATAACCCTGGGTCCCACCACAGCGACTCCCCAGCTGGTCCCTGAGGCCCCCGCTAACCACCGGCCCACGTCACCATCCCCTCCCACACTCATCGGCCCGTGTGCTGCTACGAGGGTGCTGCTGATGTCCTTGGCTTTGTGACATGTGCTGAGTGGTCAGAGTCCAGACACCCAGGGCAGCACTCAGAACCACACAGGACCCTGCAAGAGGCACTGCATCGGCTCCTGCGCCAGGGCTCCTGTGGCGCCACGGCTGGCAGTTCCCTGGCACCACGCCAGGTGTCCAGCGTCACTCTGAATCCCAGCCAGGAGAGCCAGCTTTCAAGCCCACCCCTCTACCCGCTGCACACTTACCGGTGAACTTGAGGTCGGGGTGAAGCTCATCTTCAAACTGTTTGCCGTAGATGGATGCGCCGCCGCGACCTGCGATCAGAAGATGGGAACTGAGCCAGCCAGGCCTGCGCCCGGCTGTGAGCCCAGCACCCGCCAGGGCCAGAAGTCTTTTCGGGGTGCAGGAGAGAGAAGGAAAGCGTGCCCTGCCTGCTAGACGGACCACAGCTGCAGAACCAACTTGTGAGCCACCGGCTTCATGCAGGTTAGGATTGCTTTTCAAAGTAAGTTTCCTCCTGCTTTCTACGTTCATACAGGTTTGCGATCGAATATACAGAACACAGAGGAACAGCCGGGTGTGGTGGTGCATGCCTGTAATCCCAGCACTGGGGAGGCTGAGGCAGGAGGATCAATGTGCGTTTGAGGCCAGCCTGGGCTACAAAGTGAGCTCAAGGCCAGCCTGAACTACATAGTGAGACCCTGTCTCAAAAAGACAAAAAAAAACAAAAAACAGAGGAAGATCAAAAGAACACTGGGGCTCCCTGAGATCGAATCATCTACAGAATCTGACACCTTAAGAAGAGTCCCAACTTCTCACATTATTGTGAGTATTTCAGCAGGAGCCACCAAGCCCGAACCCCGTGTGCTGCAGAGACTGCCCATCAAGGAGCACTCTTCCCTCTTTGCTTAGATCTGCCTACAAATCCCGACCAACCCAGGACGCCAGCGGCATCATCAGAGGACCGGAGACGGCGGAGCTGAAACCTACCTGCCTTCCCAACCCAGGCAAGAAAAACAAGATGCACCTATGTCGAGCCAACCCCCAGCTTAAGGGCAAACACGGGCAGTGGGAAGGAGAGTGGGGATGAGGCAGAGGCAGGCGACAGCAGCAGCCCCGAGAACACACGCAGGGGACGGGCAGGGGGAACAAGAACCGTCTGCCAGCAACACCGCCACCACGCGCTGCTCCTGCCGTGTCCGCGGGGGCACGGTCCCGAGCTGGACCCCGGAAAGCAGGACGTTCTGTTGTGCGGCACTCGCCTCAGAGCCGCAGCGCTGAGTTCCCCACGGCCCCCACAGGGAAACACACCTGGCTCACACGCTGGCTTCTCCCCGCGGACAGCCAGGGCATCACTGCCGGCACACGGTGAACACTGGATTCACCAGGGCGGGCTGCCTGCCCGAGCCACCCAGATGCAAGCGTCCTCCTCTTACTGCCGCCTACGGAAGTGGTCGCTGCAGCACCGCGCCCACACCAGGTCCCGGGGCACAGCGCGGTGCCCCTGTAGAGGACCAGCTGGACGGCTCTGCACACCTGAACCACCAGGTGTTCCTGCGAGCGCCACCTGGGCGGCTCGCCTTGAAAGAGGAGCAACTGTCTCCATCTTGGCTGATGGACTCCCGCTCCCCGCATCTCTGCGCTGTTAGCTTTCGGGTCCCCCGCGGGGTCCGGGACCGTCCTCCGCTCTGTCCCCTGCTCTGTGACTGTCACTCTGTTCTGGCTTTGCTTGTGCGGCGGACATGGGGGTCTCCTCTGGGTGCAGCTGCTGCTGACCACGCGGTGATAAGCACGCTCTGCCTCCCCAGGAGACCGGGTAGGGGTGCCACCTGCCGTGCCCCCTCCAGCTGTCATCGGTGAGGAGGGAGTGCTCACGTGGTGCTTTCCTCTGCTTTTCGCACACGTTTTCCAGCTTACTGGCTTCTGTCCTCTGTGAACATCCACTTCTCTCGGAGAGGTCAGAGGTCAATCCTCTGCTAGTTTGTGCTTTGCAAATTCCTTATCCTGGGTGACTTCTTTCATTCTCTAAGGGGTTCTTCCAATGCACAGAAATCTCTGCAGGGAATCTGTTATTTCTTTCTTTTTTTGTTTTTTTTTTCCGGTACCGGGAATCAAACTCACGACCTTGCGCTTGCCAGGCAGGCACTGTGCCGCGAAGCTAAATCCCCAGCCCCTGGAATCTGTTATTTCTAAAAAACAAAAATCTACTTCTTTTCCTCAAGACCGCTCCCATGTCTTCCTCCACTCACGGTATGGAAATCTCCCAACCACGAATCAGACTTGAGGACACGAGAAGGCGGGAGGCCAGACAAGATCACCACACTTGGTGCCGCCAGGCCCCACCGCAGCTGGGCCCACACTCACACGCAGGCCCACGAAGGCCCAGGCGGCGGTGACCCGGCGCCACGTGGGGAGCAATCTGACCCCAGAGGACAGCTGATCAATGGAAGCCCCTTTCCTGGCAAGTGAGCCTCCGCCAGACGCCTCGGGCCGGCTGTCCCCTGCCGCCCCAGCCTCCTCCTCCACAGCCGCCGCGCCCTGGCCTCAGAGACACAGGCAGCGACTGAGCAGTTCTGTCTGCAGCCTTCTGACTTAGGAAAGTGAAGAGAAGTCTGCTGGGAGTTCAGAGGCGCTCTCCTGAGAGCAAGAGAGGGACTCGCTCCTCTGCGGCACTGCGGCTGTTCCCTGTCGCCTGCTCGGAGAGCGGCCACATCAGCAGCAGCTGCCCTGCAACCGGAGCCGCAGTCTGAGACCAAAGCCACCCGCCGGGATGGGTGGGGCGGAGGAGGGTGCTCGGAGGCCAGGGCTGTGTGACAGGCAGGACGCGCTCTTGGCGTTGGTGTGAGCAGCCCGAGTTCCCACGAGCAGCAGCCGTCCGCCGGGATTTATTCCAGTCCTGCCCCCAAGCCTCCACACTGACTCGATGGCCCTAGCTCACTAGGGGCAACTTCTGCTTGTTACTTCCACTGAGCAAAAGAAAGTTTCCAGAAGAGAAGGTGCAGCGCTCTGTCCACCAAATGCCCTTCCCGATGTGCGCCCCGCCCCTCCTGTTACTAATACATCACAGGAGCGTCTCCGGGCCTCACCGCACGCCCAATCCACTCACCCCTCGGGTCCCTCCTGCTGGGCCGTTCCCAGCCGCATATATAACTAACCATCAAAGCTCCTGGCCTTACACGTGCTGGACGGCAAGGAAGAGCTCAACAGGAAGCCAACCCCCAGGGGAAGAAGAGGAAGAGGTCAGCAGACACAGAGACCACCTGGGCGGCTCTCCTCACAGGAGGAGCGACGGTCTCCCTCATGGCTGAGCCTGACCCTGTTTCCTTGCACTGATGTGCGCAGAGCTGGCTGGGACTCCTCCTTATCCCTTCGACTGGCTTTAAGCCATGCCCATCGGTCCTGCCGAGGTGCTGATGGTAGTCTTTGAAGATGGCAGGCGGTGTTTGCCCGGACCCCCGCTGTTCCCGTGTCCCTACATTGGATGGAGAGCCAGAGCGCCTCGCTTTCGCTGGGATTGATCCTCACCCTCTGAGATAGAGGCTGTGACTTCCCGGGGCTTGGAAGATTACACATCAGAGCTGAAGCCCTGAGCCCAAAACATCAGATACTACCTCAACTGTGTCACGCAGGTTACTCTTTCTGCAGATCCTTCTCTCTGCATTTGCAGAAGGGATTTCAGGCCTCCTGCCTGCCCAGCTCACAGCACTCCCCTGCTTCCCGCGACTCTCACAGTCACTCATCCTCAAGCCACTCCTTTCTTCACCAATAAAAACCTGGGTTCAGGGCTGGGGATTTAGCTCAGCGGCACAGCGCCTGCCTGGCAATCGCAAGGTCGTGAGTTCGATTCCAGGTACTGGAAAAAAACAAAACAAAAAAACCCAACAAAAAAGGCTGGGTTCAGCCCTAGGTGGAGCCTTTGTTCCAAATGGCTATCATCATGGCTGTACTTAGGCTCTCCTTGGCTCCCCATAACTACAAATATGCCTTAGCATCTTTATTCTCACCATGGGATGCACTGGAAGTGGTAGATTGGAATTAACTCACACAAATTCCAATTCACTTTCCATGGGATTACAAATATAACTCCTGGGCCAAGCTGAGGACCGGGAGGGCTCTCTATAACCAGAAACAGATAAAAGGCACACAGAGGCTAAGGAAAGAGGTAACACTGAGTTATTTTTATATGGGTAATCATAAAAAAATGGTTCAGAGCCAGGTGTGGTATAAACATCTGTAACCTCAGCACTCAGGAGGCTGAGGCAGGAGAATCACTTCAAGTTTGAGGTCAGTCTGGACTACACAGCAAGACTCTGTTACAAATGAGATGAAGCAGGAAGTCAGTGGTATGTGAGCTGAGAAAGACCCGGTGAAGACACTGGGATGACCACAGAAGGGACAGCTCCGGAGTGCTCAGCCCGAGGGACAGTGGGCACGGGACATGCACAGCAGCTCACAGGGCGCCCAGACACCACACACTGCCCGCCTGAGCTGGCACCGAATCAGCACACAGGCTCGACTCAGCGCCCAGGCCGTGCAGACGTTCTCTATACCCGGGCCAGACACAGTTATGTGGGAACCTCTTGAGTCACTCGGTTTCGTCACAGTTGTAACGTGGGAACGTGACATTAGGAAGGGCGGTAAAACGACGAGAAAAACACAGGGAAGCGCCGGAGGGAGCAACTCACACCCGAGTCACTTCCGGTCCTGGCTCCGCGGTCCGGACTCTCCTGGCTCACAGGAGCCGTGCGTGACAGACAGTTCCCTGCAGGACAGCCAGAGGGCGCCAGGAAGCCGGGCGGAAGAGAAGGCAGATCAGGCCGACAGATGGAGGACACGACCTGGCCTCCCCTCAGTGTGCAATGAAGCAAACACAGAACGATGACGACTTTAAAAGCCAGTTTCACCAGCATCAACCGTTCTAAAAGTTCTAGAAGAATCCGCCAAGGAAAGATCCGGAAGGTTCTTCTCCGTGCATTCCCAAGGCAGTAAGTAACGAGGACAGGCGCGCCCCGCTAGAACGCTCCCCAACACCCCAGTCCAAGAGGCCTCAGCGGAGACAGGGAGCAGCGAGGGCAACACAGCTAAGGCAAAGCCGGGCGGGGCCGGAGCCACGGGGCAGCAGCCAGGGCTGCCCAACTGCCGGGCACCAAGCCATACTTAGGGGGTGGCTCGGAGCCTGCGTGGGGGTAGACGGCCAGCACTGGCTGCTAGCGGGGTCCTGGGACCCGGTTTAGGGGCCCCAGGGGGATGGGCAGATACTGGTCCTCCCAAAGGGGTCACAACTCCCTCCTCTTCAGGCCGGAATAAAATGGAGAGAAAATAACCTCACTACTGAGTGGGGGCACAAGGGACCACAGAGGTGAGGAGAGAGATTCGGGGCACCAGGACCCTGTGCCTGACCGAGGAGGGAGGGAGAAAACAGACCTCAAGAACTCAGTCTGGCGCCTGTAATCCCAGCCCTCAGGAGGCTGAGGCAGGAGGATTGCTTTGAGTTTGAGGCCCAC